TTTGCCGCTTCCCTGCTTCATCACTGCTTGGAGAGGCCCCATCCCACCACTTCAGACCTAATAAGTAGCAGTAGAAGTCAGAAGTTTTTACTGCCTTAAAGGCTGCTAAAAGGCTTCTGAAGAAATGAGTCCGTGTTTTCAGTCTTGTTTTCATTCCACGTCCCAAAGCTCAGCCGGATCGGCATCTGTGTTTGCTGCCTCCGGAGAGAGAGGCTAATTACTGGACAAAGCTGGGGATTAAGCTTCCCCCTTGCCCTTGTGAAGGAACAGTCCCACTGGAACAGGGTTTAGGGCTATTAGGAGAATAGTGGAGAGAAAAGGTGTTTCCTCAGTGCAGCCATTCCCCATCCTTTTTGGATGAAGAGCAATGAAATGTACAGGGCTTTTCATCCAGCACCTTTGGCAATCACTAAGAGAGCCTTGCAAGGCCCCTGCAGATGGGGTATCTTTTGCCATCTATGCAAGCAATAAGACATGACAAGCACTTTATTTCATCAGGGCTGCACACCTTGAATGCATTTTGTGGCATAAGGCCAAAGTACAGATGACTTAAACTCTCACGAAATGCAATATTCTTTCACAAATGCATTAAAACCCTTGCACTGGCTTATTACTACTAAGAAGTGAAAATTTCTTGAAAACTAAGGAGGAAGAGAGGTTTCCTAAGATGGGGTCCCAGGGGTCAGGCACCTTGACAGCCAATAAGAAGCCTCCATTTGCAAATAATGTTCAAAAGACACATCTTAATATATAGTCAGCCTGGAAAAGGGCTCTGAAATCTGAAAGCAACTGGCTCTTCCTGTATTGCCAAAGGACAAATGTTGAAGTACAGCCCTAGAAGGTTAGATCATGTCAGCATATAGACCGTTACACCAGCTTTCTGGGTTTGGATGAATACTATTTTCTCATTTTCCTAAAAGATTACACAAGGTCTTATGCGTTTATAAAAGAATTTTTAACACTTTTGGGTGAACTTGGCTTTTAAAAATTTGCCTTCGAGGATGAAGGCTCCAGGGTAGCTGCACTCTGGCCCTTCTAAGTCCTTCTCTCCCAGAGAGAGACACATTTGTAGATGATTAGAGAACTTCAGGTGGGAACTTTTCTCTGCCTCTGGCTTTATGCCTTAAAATATGACCTAAGGCAAGCTATCATTCCCCAGAAATGAAATATGTCATATGTTACTATTAAAGTGAACCAGAAAAAGAGCATTCTATTACAATAATGGGTTTTGTTTTTTTAAAAAACGTAAATGTCAACTGCCCAAAGGAATAATACATATTTGATACTATTATTGGAACAGAAATGCCAGTAACTGCATGAGGTACTTATATTTAGTACTATTCCTATAGTAAAGGGATTTTATGTAAACCTTTCAGTAGAATTATTGTGTCAGAGGAAAATGAGGTACAGCATCACGCATTATTCATGCAATCAGTATACATTTATTGGAGGTGACTGTGTGTCATTTACCAGTCTAGATGCTGGGGATGCAAAAATAAAACGAATAGAACATCTTCCTGCCTTCAAGGAACTCACATTCCATTTGAAGATACAGATCTAGCAACCAACTACAATGCAATGTCACAACTGCTGTAATAAAGATTCCGACTGGTCCGTGAGAGTACACACTACAGAGAATGATTCTTCAAACAGGAGTCCTTGCTATCCTTAGTGGCCTGTTAAAGCTGAGCTGGATCTTCACATACTCATCTATCAGGATGAAGTGTATATGAAGCAGATGGAACAGCATGGGCAAAGATGTTGCAGCGGGAAAAAAAAAAAAAAAGCATGGCACGTTTAGGTAATAATGAGTGGTTTTGTGTAGCTACAGAGGTAAGCCTGTCAAACTGTCTAATGTCAAATACTTTGATAGACTAGTTTGAGTTAAAAAAAACCTTGAGTGATTTTTGAGCAGTATAATTTGACAAAATGAATGTATTTTGCATTATACTGTATAGGGCCAAGGCAATGAAAGTAGGAGACAAAATACTGCATGGAATAAAACTGTCATACTCACCATGACTCAACTGTTAACTTACAAAAATACACTTACGTCAAGAAATGCAAGAAAATTGCTTACTTCTTGTGCTTATGGGTGGATTGAACCTAATTTTGTAGCATTAAAACCAATTTCCCACTGAGAAAACATGTCACAGAGGATGGCATGAACCTTTCTAATTATTAACAATATTTGATATTTCAATGTCACCTTTCATCCCGAGATCAGTCCTGTACACATGGGAACAGATAAGCTCCAAGGAAACAGAGATAATACTAATACAGTAACTCACACTGCATTTCTATCGTCTATATTCTAAGAGCTTTCCAGCCATGTATTTCTCTTACTTTTACTTTTAGAAGGTGGTGGATATAGTTGTAAAGAAGAGGGTTTTGTTTTGTTTTGTTTTGTTTTTTTTTATTAGCTCCTACTACAAGAGGTCTTAGCATGGAGTAAGGGCCACACCTTTCCATACACAGCTATCCTTGGGAGATCATTCCCCTTTCCTTAGCTTCTTTGCTTGCTGATCTCCTTCTGAGACACAGCAGTGCGCTGTGTTTTCATGGATTCTCCAACTTTCTCAAAAGATTCACATCACCATCATCATTATCACAACAACCTTAACTACTATTGCTGCTCCTTATAAAACACTTACTTTATGCCTGCCCTGTTCTAGGAACTTTATTCTAGGAACTTTAGAAATACACCACATTAACTACTTTCACACCAACATTATAGACGAGTGCTGTTCAACAGAACTTTCTGTGATGATGGAAATGTTCTATATCTGTGCTGTCCAATATGGTATCCACTAGCCACAGGGGGTTATTGAGCACTGGAAATGTAGCTAGTGCTACTGAAGAACTGCATTTTTCTTTTATTTAATTTTCACTGAAATAGCCTCATGGCTAGTGACTACTACTACTGTATTGGACAACACAGTATATACTTTGCGGTTTATTAAAAAAAAAGTCTGTTTTCATCATCAGTAAGAACTTAACGAAGACTGGTGTGAGTGAATAGTTCAGAAATATCTTGAAGCTACAAATACTTTAAAAGAAGTCCCATGTTTTACATTTGGAGAACTTTTATTCCACCCTTTCTGCTTGCTATTAAAATTTTACTTAAAAGATGCCTGTGGAAAGGTAGGAAAACATAGGATCATTTCTAAACAAAGAACACTTAAAAAAGATGTAGATGATGTCCTTAAATGAAATCTCATTGTCATCCAACCATCCCACATGGTCAGCAATGGTAAGCTATAGGCCACCCACTGAAAATTGGGATTCCAGTTACTGATTTTTCCAAAGGGAGACATTCACCTCTGCTTATAAAAAGGAATGATGAAAGAGGATTTTATGTCTTGGGTGTCCACGGAGAAACAGACTTCAGATAAACTCTTAATTCACATTTCCACACTTCTCTCACTGAAACCACCTCCCCAGGATTTCTCTAGTTTGTGTGTGAAAATATGGGAATAAACTTCTTTAACGTGAAGAAGCTGATTGGAAGACAATCACATTTCCGTTAGTCCGCTCTGTAACTTAGACTGTTACCACTGCCAGAGAAAGAGAACTTAAGTAGCCCTTGGTTTGAACCATCTGTCGCGAAAATGTGACATATGTTTGCTTCGTTTACTCAACAACCAAGTGTAAACTGATACACTGAACAAGGAATCCGTGTGTGGTGTGACTACGTGTGTGTGTGTCTGTGTGTGTGTGTGTTCGCGCCCGTGAGGAAGGGGGTGCTTGATGAGGGCTTCAGTCTCCTCATACCTGCCCCCGAGGAACACGTGCACAGGAGCGCAGATCCGTGGGATGTCCCCGGGGTTTGGGGCGCCGGTCGACGTGCAGACACACTCCAAACAAAGCGCTGCACGCAAGAGAGCGGCAGCCGCAGCAGCAAGGGGCGCGCCCGGCTGATGTCTAGTTGAATGGAGAGCTACCCAGCCCTCTCCCCTTTCCTCCTCCTTTTCTCCCCGCTCTTACACCCCGCTTTCAAACTTCAACCAAAGCCCTTGCCCTTTTCAATTACCCCCAGCCCCACCCCTCGATCTTTTCTCTCCTCGGCAGCCCATTGTCTAGTACAATGGGTTTGCATATTTGGCAGCTGGGCTCACCCACCCTTGATTCAAACTCTGTTTCCCTAAGAGATGAACTTAGACATCAGCAAAGATCGCCAATACAAGTCCTGAGCGGCTGGATGAGCTTGCCACTGCGGGCTGTTTCCCAGACCCCTCTCTGGACACAGCGTAGACTTCGGTGTCCCGGGCGCCCCCCTCCCCACCCGGCGTGTGAGGAGGGGAGCGTGTGTTCAGGGCGCGGTAGGGGCGTCGGCAGCCCGGCTCAGAACGAGTGGTCCCAAGGATTGGGGTGAAGGGCTGTGCGTGTGTTGAACCTTTAAATTTATTATTTTAAAATTTACTTTTGAAACAGCCAAGATGGAGGTCAGTTTATAAATTTCCCAAAGCCAGGTCTGACGCGGTTTAAATGCAGTGGGTCAGGGGTTCCGCTTTTGTCTCCTTGTACAAGCTCGAGGAGAGAGGTAAAGGCTGCGTGTGCATCTGTGAGTGTGAGCGCGTTGGTGGATGATTGGGTGGGCGATGATCCCGCGATCGCAGCTCCGAGGGCCTGGGTCTGAGTGTGTTTTTAACACGCCAAGTCTTGGAGTCACAGCCGCGAGTGACGTGGGGAAAAACTTTATGTTCGGAAGAAGGGTCTGGTTTGATTGCGCTAGGACGAAGAAAGAAAGAGCCCTTGTGCATTGTGCCCTCGTGTGTGTGAGAGAGACAGACACAGAGAGAGAGACAGAGAGACAGAGAGACTAAGCGGCGCTAGCGGCCGGCTGCAGAGCGCTGTGTGTCCTGTGCGCGCTGGCGGGATCTGGCCCCGGGTCCCACCGCCCGCGAGTGTGTGTATCTGCGGCGTCCCTGCCGGCGAGTATCAGAGGGGGCTGGCGGTGTGCTGCGGGGTGGCAGGGGCAGGCGGAGGGGCCTCTGGCAAAGAACTCTGGCCTCGGAACCCGCTGCCCGCCGCGCATCTCCCAACAAACACTAACATCCCTAAAGGGCATCCGAGCCGGGGCTCTGCTGGGAAATCATCCTGGCCCAACTCGATCTTCTGAGCTCTCGGGGATTACTGCATCTTTCTTCGTAGCGCAGAGACGTGAGCCTGGAAAAGGAAGGAGAGGGCGAGAACACCTCCCACCCAAATAAATAAATAAATAAATAAACTGGCTTCTCGCCGCAGCTGGAAACGGTCGATTGAGCCCAGGTTGGTGGCATTTGGAGAGAGTTTTCTCATTCTGTCGGCTTGGGAACCCGCCGCCACTCCCCCACTCCCCTCTACCCCTCTTGTAGGCGCCCCTCAACTTTGGGGCCCAGGGGCGTGCGCGGCGCGGGTCTGCACCTGCCCTGGCGCTCCGGGTCTGCGGGCCCGTGCGTTCGGCCTGGGTGGCAGCGTTGATGTGCCGGACGCCAGGGCGCTGGGCTAGTGTGTATGCGCGGCGCGGACGCCAAGGAGCAAGCAGAGGACCGAGCGGCGGGTAGGGGCGCAGGAGCCGGGTTTCGGCCCCAACCGGGACGTAGGTTCCCCCTCTCCAGGCTGCCTCGGAACGGAGGCGAGCCCGGGGAGGAGGGGATACAGCGATGGGGGGCAGCGATTGGTGGTTTGGGTGGGGAGGGCTGGCTGAGCGAGCTAGCTGGCGCGACGAGGGGGGTGGCGAACTTCCCGGGAGAAGGGGTTTTCCCGGGAGAAGGGGCTTTTTCCGCGAGAAAGAGCTGCCGCCGCCGAGTGCTTAGACTCCAGGCAGCGGCCGGCTCCGCTCGCCCCGCTCGGAAAGTAACGTTATTTATTTATTTGCTTGCGTTCAGCCTCTTGGGTTGGACCCAATAGACACCCCCTTGGACTTCGGGAGCCCGCCTCCGACCTCTCCAGCCTCCACCCTGCCCGTGCAGGCGGCTCCCCGGAATACACGCACATGCACCCCCGGCACCCCCTCCCCGCGCCCCGACCCGGGCAGGGGGTGGGCCCTCACCCGGGCGCTAAAAAGTCCCCCTAGGCGGGAGCAGGGGAGGGCAGAGGGGCGGGGGAGGCTCCAGCACTCTCCGCTCTCGTTTCAAAGCGCGCTCTCCCTTCTAGGTTGGGTCGGACCTGAACCCCTAAAAGCGGAACCGCCTCCCGCCCTCTAGCCAGCAGCCCGCTCGGAGCTGAGTCGCCGGCGGAGGTAGCGGCGGACGGACCGGGGAGTTTCCTCTCGCATTGGATGGAGCTGAACTTTGGGCGGCCAGAGCAGCGCGGCCGTCCGGGAATCGCTGCGTGCTGAGTTCCCTCGGCGAGACCCAGCGGCAGCTCTGGATTTTCGGGGGGGCGGGGACCAGCTGCGCGCCGGCACCATGTTCTTGGCGACCCTGTACTTCGTACTGCCGCTTCTGGGTAAGTCGAGGCCGCCGCTAGCTTTCTTATCCGCTGAGTCTTCTTGGAGAGTACTAGAGGCAGCCCCCCAGTACCCCCTTCCCCCCAAAAAAAATTGCGGCTCGGGCGCGGTGGGTGTGGGACCGCGAAGTTTCGTTTTGGGGAAGGGGATCCAGAATCCTCAGCACCCCGGGCTGGGGGGTGGGGCAGGGGCGGCGCGGCACTTGCCCGCAGCTTTTCTTCCTTGGTTTTTGTTTCCTACGTTTTTAATGACCTAGCCTGGAGGGAAATTAAAGCGTCCGAGCCCTCCAGCCCCAAGCCCGACGCCCCTTGCAAGTCCCGGGGAGCTTGCGGAGGCGCGGGGGGGCAGGTGGGGTGTGGGCGAGCACCGGGCCAGGAGAGCAAACTTGGAAGGGAAAACTTTTCCCGGAATAGCATCTCGGTGCTCCCCGCCGGGCGGACCGGGTATCAGGGCTCATCCTCTCCGCGTGCAACGCCCAGCCCGCCGCCGTTCTCCCCTGCCGAAAGCCCCCGGGCTTCAGTCGGGCCGGGTCGAGAGAGTGGCTGGAGCCGGGAACTGCGGGAGGGCGGCCCTGGAGGCCAAGCAGCCGCTGAGGCTGGTCGTTCCCGGGGCGGCAGGGCCTGCACGCGCGGTGGGCAGCGTTGGCTCGCGGGCAAACCGCAAAAAGCCCGCAAAGCCTCGGGGCGCCCCGGGGGCTGGGTAGGGGGAGACTAGCGGCAGGAGGTGCCCGGGCGGGAAGATGGACCCCCCAGGCGTAGGGGGGCGGACGCGCTCCGGGAGCCGGGAGCCGCAGAAGGCTGCTCCTGCGCGCGTCCTCCTCCACGGCTGGCGCACCGCGCCCCAGCCCAGCCGCACTCACGCTCCCTCCCCTCCCCCGCCAAGACGTGCTCCTGTCGGCCGAGGTCAGCGGCGGGGACCGCCTGGACTGCGTGAAAGCCAGCGATCAGTGCTTGAAAGAGCAGAGCTGCAGCACCAAGTACCGCACGCTCAGGCAGTGCGTGGCGGGCAAGGAGACCAACTTCAGCTTGACATCGGGCCTGGAGGCCAAGGACGAGTGCCGCAGCGCCATGGAGGCCCTCAAACAGAAGTCGCTTTATAACTGCCGCTGCAAGCGGGGTATGAAGAAGGAGAAGAACTGTCTGCGCATCTACTGGAGCATGTACCAGAGCCTGCAGGGTACGCGACCGTCTTCTTTTCCCCCTCCCCCAGCCCCTGAAGGCAGGGGGGTCCCTAGGCCCGGGGTCCGGCTGACCTCATCCTCCACTCACTTCGCCCCAGCTGCAGAATGAGGACCTTTCATTGGCCCCCAGGGACGTGGGCAGCTGGTGTTTGCTGCCGGTCTGGTTGTTGGAAAACCCGTGAGGGGTGAAGGGACATCCCAGGGACCCCGCTGACCTCTTTGAAACTTGGTCGGAACATCGGAGTAGGAATCCGTTAAAGGCCTGGCTTCCCAGGATAATCCAAAGGCTTGCACTGCATCTTGCCTGGATTTTCCCCCTCTCTTCTTTCCTTCTGTCTATACTGACATAAGATAAAGAATTGAGAATGAAAGGTGCAGTGGAATCTATTCTATCTTTACCCCCCTCAAACCTAATCAAAGGCAGATGTGGGAAAAAAAAATTTTGTCATCTTAGATTAGCTGCGTCTTAAAGCAGCTGGTGTAGTTCAGCCTTGGTTAGTGCAGAAGTGGCTCAGAGAGGGCAAGGTCTACTTGTCATAGCCATCCATTACAGGGGCAATTTTTTGGTCCTTGTGTGCCAGAGGTGGGTCATGTTTGTAAATCTAACTCAAACATTCAGTGCATTCATTCTCCACTGAGTCTGAGGCTCAAAATTTGTAATATACAGATTTGACCTCTCAGCTGCCACTTCCTCCAGAACCTATTAATGAAAACCTGTTTCAGAGACTGAGTGTTTAATAGCCAGGGTACCTGCTTTCTGACTGCATGGCATTTTTGGGGAGTAAGAAAAAGGGCCAGCTTTGTTCTTCTATTGGCTCCTGGAGGCAAGCTGGGCTTGTGACGTCACTGGTTCCTTCCTCTCTGATTTCATTCCTTTGCAAAGAGTGGGAGAGTTTTCTGGCAAGATCAGGCTGGGTTGCTCTCCAATGTTTTCATGGCACTATGGGGAGAGCCAGGACAACAGAGGCAGAGGGAATGAAGAGAAATAACCAGAGCCAAATAGATGCATTTGAAATCTTTGAAAGTTTCAGCATCTTTTTGTTACACAATCATAACATAATTAGAATTCAGATTCAGTAACAAAAACTGACTGAAATATGTCTGTTTTCCAGATCTGAGCCCAATCTTTCTGTTGTTTTTAGGAAATGATCTGCTTGAAGATTCCCCGTATGAACCAGTTAACAGCAGATTGTCTGATATATTCCGGGTAGTCCCATTCATACCAGGTAAGCAGATTTATACTTCCACTCTGATGCCTTCGCCTGCTTGAAATCTATTGGCTTACATTCTCTTTGGCTCTCAAGTAGTGTATAAGTAGATCGTTGAATGGCACAGTGTTTCTGGGAAATTAGAAATAGGATGATGATAATGAAGAGGCAGAATGCCCAGAGATGATTGTATGACTTGAAAGTAATTCTAAATGAAGTGATGTTGTGTGGTGGTTTGAGAGAGGTTGGAAGGAGGTGACTTTGTTGAATTTTTTTTTCCACGTTAAAATATGATTGGCCAACTCTTGCAAAGGGAGTGCCACTTCTGTCTGTAGGTGGCAATCGTATTCCCTTCTTGCTGCATACTGTACACAGTGCCTCCCTGCAAATGGGACATGTTTAAATGATGCCACTTTACTTTACGAGACGCCTGAAGATAATCTTAGATTGTTGAAGAATTTTGGTTGGACTCACTTGTCTGCCTTTGATTTAAAAGATTAAGCTCAACCATTTGTTAACAGTTTTTTGTTTTGTTTCTGATTTTTCCTGAGCAAGTGTGTACATATACAGGAGAATGTATTCCTGACCTTTCAAAAGTGGTCTCAATTCCCATAGTCTGTTTTGTCTCTCTTTGCAAATCTACATGTGGTTTGGAAGTGACCTTAGTTTTCGAATTAAGTTTTTCATAACATCTGCATTCAGACAACCCCAAATAATGATACTTACTCAGATAATGAGTAAGGCAGTGATTTCCCTTAATGACATAGAGATTCCAGACTGATGCTGACTTTTTTTGTTTACAGTTAAGACTTTTTCTCGAGTATATATAGCCATCACAAATTGTGTGTTTCTTGGTTAACCACGGTGGTTCACGTTGAATTTGTTTCTATGAGATATGGTGGTTTGGTACTGGTGAGAGTGTTCTGGTGTTCTAAATGTTTTACGTTTACCTGCAGAAAGACATAGAACCAAGGAAGTATGTAAATACTGAAATTATGTGTGGGTGTATTATACACACATTCATTCATTCACCAACATCCATTCTCGCCTTTGGGATTTTGGCAATGAGCCAGACAGATGTCATATCTGCCCTCGGGAATCTTAGAGGCAGCCAGCAATTGACATGTATTAAGCTCTTATTGTGTTCCAGGTACTGTTTAAGATCTCTTCATCATTAACTTATGTAGTCATCATCAAGTGCATCTTAGATATTGTTATGTCCATTTTAGAGATGAGATGATTGAGGCAGGGTGAACTTAGGAAACCAGCCCAAGATCACAGAGCTCCTAATTGGTGGAACGAGAATTTAAACCTATATTTGTTTGCAAGATTTTGTAACATCTGCCCCTTGCTACTCAGAATGTGGTTCTCAGACCAGCAGCTCGGACATCACCTGGGAGTTTGTTAGACGTGTGGAATCTCAGGTTCCATCCCAGAGCTACTGAATGAGAATTCGCATTTTAAGAAGATCCCTGGGCTGGGTGCTTCATATACACATGAAGCTTGAGAAGCACTCCTCTGTATTATGCTTTTGGTTCAGAGGAAAAGTGTGTGTGTGTGTGTGTGTGTGTGTGTGTTTGTGTGTGTGTGTGTGTGTGTGTGTGTGGTCTGTTTCAGGATAAAATATAAGGGGACAGGTTTAGTATCAGAGGTGTTCATATATTATCCTGGATAATGCTGATAACTTCCACCGCAAATCCCTATTAATGCTGTCTGTCCCTTTGGCCCAGCCAGGACAGTGGCTGAAGGCAGTGAAGCGGGGATGCACAGACAGGAGTATATGACCCTCTGAGCTCTCACGGGAGCAGGTCAGTAGGCAACTAGTAGTTGCCAGAAACCAACCTGGCTTTCCTAGCACCGTGAGGGGCAGTGCCTCTTGCTGGCTGCCTGCTCCACGGAAGCATTACTCCTGTCTTTGTGCTGATGCCTGGAAGGATATGAACCTCCCCAGGGACAGCGAGAGTGAGGAAGTAGGTAAGGAGGAAGGTTCATTTGGGTTTTAATTTCAAAATTGTTATGAGCTATAGGGCTGCAGTAGACTCATTTCCCCCTCTCTGGGTCTCTCTTTTTTTGGTATAATGAGGTCATTGGAGTAAAAATCTCCAGTCCTAACAGCCCATGATTCTGAGGGGAGATTGAGGACACCTTCAGAATCCCTCCTCTGTGCTCCTACATTTGCTCTTTTCAATCCTTGCATTCATTCTCCACTTAAAGTGACTTGGTCATTCTTGGATACCACTGACTTGTCTGGCTTTCTTTGACGAGTGTCAGAAATTCTTCCGCACGGACCAAGCCCCCCTCATTCATTTGTTTGGATCCCTCTCTCAAACCGGTGTCTTTTCATAGCAAATATGATCCTTGGTTTGTGAGACCCAGCCTACCGAGGTCTCAGAAGCCATAATGAATTACTCAGAGCCAGGAAGGTCTTGTCTAGAGCTACATTTTATATCTCAAGGGCGTTGGATTTAGGTTCCAGCTGTAATGAGCTTTGACCTCTGACAGTGACTGTGTTCCTTAAGTGGGTATAGGAAAGCCAAATGGAGCCTTGAGAGGTTTTAAGTCATTGAGTAATGCATATTATCCCGTTTGGCATTTGTAGGATGGAGAGGGACAGAGGTTCAGGGTGATGAGTGTTGCTGTTGATGAGAATCTCTCTCTCTGAGGTAACCAGGACAACAGGGCCTTTGCCTTTTACAGATAGGGTAGTAATCAGAGTTTCCATATTTGGATTTCTCTGCCCAAGGGGAAGAGGATGTTTATCCACATACACTAAGTGTGAGCTGAATCCTCTCACCGAACAAGACATGTTTGACGTTCTTGAGTTTCCATTTTTTTGGACTCTTCAAACCCACAGCCACCTTTGCCATTGTTTACTTGATCACCAGGTAAAAGGCCATATGGAGGTATTATCCATGGCAGGAACAAGGAAGGGAACAAGAATAAGGTAGAATCTAAAAACTGTCATCTGAGGCCTGAGCTACAGAAGGGAAATAAAGCAGCCTGGTCTGGTGAGAATTGCAGTGGGAGGTTGGAGGGATTATTCTCCTGGAAACGCAATAGCGGAAGCAGAAGCGTTGGCCTCTAAGGCGCTTTGAAGGGCTCTAGGAAGTGCCTTTTCTGTGTGTGGATGCTGGTGCGGTTTTTAGGGGCCTCACCAGGCGGTGGGCTAGAGGACACAACGGAAAAAGTGAGCCGGTGCACGAGGACGTTGGAGGAGAGGAGAGAACAAGGAAAGTGTCTTGGGAGCCAAGAGGGCAGAGCTCTGTGGGCGCTCAGAGGCTCAGAGGATGGACCTATCAGGTGGTGTTTCACATCTGTGTCTCTCAGCCACAACTCTGCTCTTTAACCTCCATTCTGCCTCACCTTTTCTTCTTCACAAACGTTCAAGAAGCAGCGAGAAATAGTGATTTGAAAGGAAGGCGAGCCTGTTTGCAATGTTTTTGGACTCTCTGGAGGGCGAGAGCAAAGAAGGAGAAATTTGGAAAGTACAATGGGTGCAGAGAAAAGCCTGAAGATGGAGGATCAGAGGGAGGATGTAAGGCCCTCTGTGGCAGCGAGAGATTAAAAAAAGGGCTCCAATGTTTAAAAGTATTGATTGGGAGGTTAGATTTTGTAGAGAAGAATCAAGAAATGCCAGACCTTCCTCAAATGTAATCAAAGTTGATGGTATTGTAAACAAGAGTCAAGTGGAGAGATCATGGGGAAAGAGTGATGCCGGGATTTTTTTTTTTTTTAACATCTTTATTGGTCCTGATGCTGGGATTTGAACATCCTAAATCTGATTTAGTGAACGACAAAGTTCTAGGTCTCTGGCTTTGCCACCATTTCCCTGCCAAGTCCCAGGAGTGGCTTAGACCTTCCCAGGAAGCCTTAGGATCTTGAGATTGGTCCCCAAGTAATTGGAAATGGCTTTGCCCGGAATCAGATGCCCCTAAACTCTCTTTTGAGTCTGTCCCCTTTTTGAATGATGCTATCAATAATGAGCCATGTTTAGCATTTCTGTTTTAATGTACCATCATATATGTGTAACTATTAAACAAAAACTTTCTTAAAATGTTTGTGTGTTGAAGGAGAGCCTTATAAGATCATGTGCTGTCTTGTCAAATCATGATAAGAGAGAAGGGCTTGTAAATACCAGCTGCTAGGGGTATACGGTGGCCCTCTCCTTTCCACGCAGCTCTCTAATCATGTTGTCACTATATTTGAGAACTCCTGTAAGTTCTTTTTTGTCTATCCTGGCATATGGTAAATTCCTTTGTAGGCTAGCTTGGCCCTGCCCTTCCTCTCTAAGCCACATCACCTCTCCGGTCAAGCTCACTGAGCAATCCATTCCCAGATATTTCATGTGCGTTCACGTTCCCATGCCTTGACACTTGGCTTTGCCTTTGTTTGGGAGGTTTCTATTAGTTCTTCAAGACCAAGATCAGGTTTCATCTCTGAGGGCCATGCTGGAATTCCCCCAGACAGGCACTTCCACTCAGGACTCTCTCATGCTGCAATTCACTCTTGCCTTCATGATAGCTGTTAATCACAGACTATCGAGAGGACTAATTTATGTGTCTGTCTTTCCCACTGGAAAGTCGGGGATTTGCTTGTAATGGCGGGTGTTCGCTCAGCACCGAGCATCTTTCCTGGTTCTGAGCAGGCGTCTCATTAACCACGAGTGGTTGAATATCAGAGAAAGGACGTAGAGATCGTCTAATCCTCTGCTTTTACAGAACTGGAGTTCAAAGAGGGGAAGCAATTTGGCCAGGGCCACACTGCTCGAGGGTCACCTCCAGAACCTTTACTTGGCACTGCCTTTGGGGAGATCAGTGTCAGCCTCCTTCTCTTCTGCATACTCTCTGGACAAACCTCATCCATCTCTGGGACCTCAGCTACCATGTACGACGATGACTCAGAGCCTCCCCTCCTACGCCATCCTCTCCTGAGCTCGAAACCAGCATTTCCAGCTGAATCCTGGATGATTCCATCTGGATGTATCTCAGTTACTTCAAAGTCAGCACATCCAAAAAGGA